CTTGCCCACAAGGAAGGGAACACTGTAGAAACCAGGTCAGACCCTTTGCCCTGCTGGCTTCGTTTGTGACTCAGTCCCACTGAGGGGTAGGCATGGGGACCATTTGTATCTGGAGATAAACCCAAAATAACGGGTTATCCTGACTGATTTAGGACTCTAGCGTAATAAACCTTGACTACTTGCTATAAATATGGGCTCCCTGACAAGGACAATCTGGTCCCTGACTTATGCTGTGCTGACAAGTGGAGATGTGTTGCGAAAACGACGAACCCATGAGAAAGCTGCTGTCCACTATGTGTGATGACCTTGGTCATCCTTTTCTCCCCCTCAAATACTTGCTGTGCTTTGTATTTGAGAAACCAGCCTTCCTGAAGTCTGACTCCCTTTCACTTTTTACAAGTAATTGTTCTCTTCTCTAAATGTTTCTGCCTTTGCGTCACTGACAGCATCTGTTGTGTGCCAGCACCACTACCGAGCTGAGGATTTGGAAATGACTTTGAACTTCTGCCTAGCAGAAGTTCACCATCTGGAGGAAGAGACCTGCCTGTAAAAAGGAGAATTCTTCTTCAAGTATTAATATATGGTGGGGCATTAACACCATCTCTGTTTGCAAGGACACCCCATGCAAATAAAAGGAATCTTCAAATCAGTCATGCCCAAGAGGCCACCTTGAGCCTACCTTGGTCTCTGAGGGGTGCTAATGTCTACCCTCAGGCTCTTAATCTAGCTTCTTCTTGTGCCTCCCTCCCACTCTCACCCTCCAGCTCTATGCCTCAACCGCTTTGAATTCTTCCACTTCCTCTTCCCCGGGTTTCTGCAATTTATCCTGCTTCATACACTTTTTTAAAAAATTATTTAATTTTTAAAGATGAGGGTCCTGCTCTATTACCCAGGTTGGTGTGATCATAGGTCACTGCAGCCTCAAACTGGGGTCCAGCAATCCTACTGCCTCAGCCTCTCAAGTAGTTAGGACTCCAGGCGCATGTCACCCGGCTACACACACTTTTTTTTTTCTGACCCAGCTAACACTTACTCATCCTTCCCTCTTCAGCTTAAGCATACATCATTTCCTAAGGGAACCTTTGCTGACCACATACACCCTGTGATAAAGCCTCCTAACCCTTGGGATTGCCTTGTTGAAGTTCTCACAGTTGTAATAAATTACTTGTTAGTCTTTGTTTAATGTCCATCTTCTTTACCAGGCAGTGTGCTTCATGAGGACGGGGACAGCCTGTTTTCACTCTCCTTTCTGTCTCTACCACTTATCACAATGCAAAGCAGCAAATATGTACACTTGATAAGCATTAGCTGAACAAAATCAATGTCATATGCAGGCCTAGAAATATTTGATCAGGGAAATTAGGAAAGGACACTCATTTTGTGGTTTTAGGTTACATTTTGAGTCCCTTCTTCACAGTGACAACAACTATTGAGTGAGATGGAATTTTGAGAACATCACATTTTAAGCTCAGAATATGAGTTTGGAGTTATATGCCATTTTGAGATCATTTATTCATGTATCCAGCCATTCAGTGAACACTTCGCTAAGCATCTACTGTGTCTCAAGCACAGGGATAGATACAAAGGTGGAGAAAATGAACTACTCCTTGCCTTTACTGAGTTCATAGTCTAGTGAGAGAGGCAGACATTAATAAAACATTCACTCCCACACACAACATGTGAAATTATAACTGAGTCAAGTATTAGGAAAAGAGCTACAAAGCACTCTGCAGGCCCAGCAGGGGGTTTTCCATCACCCAGAGAATGCCTTTTCTGCAGAGCTTCGGTGCCTGCTGAGCTTCAGTCTGAAGGAGGCGGAGGATTGAGCCTGCCAAAGAAAGGTAGTGTGGGGCGACAGTTCTCCATCGGTCCCCTGCATCTCCTGCATATCTCATGAGCAGAGACACTGGCCGTATGTGTTCCAGCCCTATCTTTTCAATGACGTTTGTGTAGTAAGCAGCCTTGGAAGATTAAAAATAGTGTCCCCCGGCTCGGTGTGGTGGCTCACACTTATAATTCTTGCGCTCTGGGAGGCCGAGGCAAGAAGATAGCTTGAGCCCAGGAGTTCGAGACCAGCCTAGGCAACATAGCGAGACCTTGTATCTACAAAAAAAAATTTTTTTTTAATTATCCAGGCATGATGGCATACACCTGTGGTCCCAGCTACTCGGAAGTCTAAAGCAGAAGAATCACCTGAGCCTAGGAGGTTGAGGCTACGGTGAGCCATGATGATGCCACTGCATTCCAGTCTGGGTGACAGAATGGGAAAATAAAAGGGGAAAAGGGTGTTCCCTTCCAAAGCAAAAGGCAGGGTTTTTGTTTGTTTGGTTTGGTTTGGTTCGGTTTGGTTTGGTTTTAACCATCCAGCAATAAAGATAATGTCTCCCTTACCTTGGGCTGGTCAACATGAGGAAGGCTTACTGCTCATTTACAAGAGATTTGGGTTCCTTAAGCTAGGGATCCCTCTGCTGTGTTATAACTAAACCACTGCATGCACAGCATCTACCTGGATTCCTCCAACATCAACCCCATGGGACTTGGGGACCCAGGGGAACTGACTCAAACATGAAATTCATGTGACTTACTGTACCATGGATAGCAAAAGTCCTTTGTCTCTGACCTGTGAGTCTATGAGTCTTGTGTCTTCTGCCAGCATCCATGAAACTGCAGCCATGAAACTTGCAAGTAGCATACAAATCTCAGACCCTTCATAGTTTTTTTTTTTTTAGTTGGAGTCTTACTCTGTCACCCAGGCTAGAGTGCAGTGGTACTCCATCGACCTGCTGGGCTTCGGCGATCCTTCCACCTCAGCCTTTCTTTTTCTTTTCTTTTCTTTTTTTGAGCTGGAGTCTCACTCTGTGGCCCAGGCTGGAGTGCAGTGGTGCACTCAAGGCCACCCCAGCGTCAACCTGCTGGGCTCTCGCAATCCTTCCACCTCAGTCTTCCAAGTAGCTGGAACTACAGGCGCGTGCTACCATGATCGGCTAATTTTTTATTTATTGTAGAGTTGAGGTCTCACCAAGTTGCCCAGGCGGGTCTCGAACCCGTGGATTCAGGCAATCCACTCACCTCGGCCTCCCAAAGTGCTGGGATTACAGACTGAGCCACAAAGCCCAGTCCCTTCATAGTTATTGACAGGCAAGCAGATGGCCTATACAAAGGTCCTGTGGTCGTTCAGTATAGCAAGCATAAGAACTGAAAGAAGATACATATGAGTGAAGCCAGAGAGCATGGAGGGAGATGAGGCTGATAGGTGTGAGCTGAGGGACCCTTGACCGATTCTACTGAGGCAGGCCTGGGGCTGTCTTGGCCATTTGTTATGACAATGCCACCTCCATGCAGGACACGTGGAGTTAATAAACTGAGCTTGTGGGCCTATGAAATGATTTTTAGCAAAGGAAGAAAGTGAAAATAAGAGGTGTTTTCCTAACATTCTGTGCTCTGCTATGGTCATGTTTGCACATGTATGCCACTTTGTAATATCTACACTAGGAATGAGAGCAAGTCTTTCTCTCAGTGCCCCAAAAGCAGAAGAATAAAATTATCATTGACCGTCACTGCTGTTGATCATCTTGGGCAGAAAAGGAGTCAGTCACCTTAAAAGAGAGAAGTGGTGACCCTTTAGTATTCACAGAGTATGATTCTAGATAAACCACTTTTGGTCCACTCCTCTTGCAATGAAGACATGAGATTGTTTAAGACCTCTCTCTCTCTCTCTCTCTCTCTCTCTCTCTCTCTCTATCTATCTATCTATCTGAGTTGGGGTCTCTGTCACCCAGGCTGGAGTATAGTGATCACAGCTCACTATACCCTCAAAATCCTGGGCTCAAGCAATTCTCCCAGCTTAGCCTCCAGAGTAGCTGGGACTACAGACATGGGCCACCATGACCCATGGCCACCGTGACCCATGGCTATCTGAGTTTAGAGTAAGAGAAAGGGAGAGAGGGAAAGAAGAGGGAGAGAAGAGAGAGAACTTTCCAAGCAAAGGCTGCCAAACCAGCCCCAATTACCTAACGTTACTGAAATGAAAGAGAATTTGTTGAAAAGCCCTCTGACCCATGCTGGCTCTTAGAATTCTGAACTTTTCACTCACTGCCTATTAATTACTTTATAGCCTGGAAAGGATGGAGTTGTCCTTGATCTTTGGCCAAAAAAAAAAAAAAAAGTGTACACAAGCAGGGGCCAAACCAGGCAGAGTCTCATTAGGAAGTTTTGTTTTTATCCTAGGGGTGATGAGAAGCCAACGAAGGATTTCAGGGAGGAGACATATCGCTGGGCTTGGGTCCCAAAGTCTCACAGAGAGGGGGGTGGAGGTTATTGATCTGAGATGAGCTGTGCAGCTGAGTGGCCCACATTGGGCTTGCGACAGATCCTTCTCACTTATCTTTCCTGGCATTTCACAAAGGAAGCAAAACAGCAACAGGGCTCAAAGCATCCTTGGGAATTTCCCCATCCTCTCCCGGCTTTCCCTCCAAATAATCAGCTCATAAATTGCTCAAAAGAGAGGGCACGGACCCAAAAGGGAGAGCTGGCTCACGGCTCTTGGCTTTTCTTCTCCCAAGGCTGTCTGGCCCTTACCTAGCCTGGAGGCAGAGAGAAAGTCTGAGAGGGAGGGTAGGTCAGGCAGGGCAGGGCTGAGGCCCGGGAGAAAATAGCAGCCTTGTTTGGGGGCACTTCAGCTTATGTAACTCAACTGTGCCCAGCTTCAACCCAGCCTAAAATGAGGGCTGGAGATGCAGAGATAGAGGCTGCCAGAAAAACTGGGAAATTGCTGGCCAGGGGAGTTGTGGTGGGGTACAGAAGGAATGGGAGGAAGGTCTTTGGAAATGCCGCTGAGTCACACTCCCAGAAACCCCCATCATCAGCCTGGGAGCTCTTCTGCTGGCAGGTGCTGCCTCTTGAAGACCTGGCCCAGGGTTTTCAACACCCAGGAGGTTTCTCAATCTTGCTAGCGGACCACAGCACTCCCCCGCCTCCACGTGCCAGCTTCATGGTTCTCTCACAGCTCATTTCCCATAAAAGGGATGGTTTGGGGCGTGGAGGAGTGGGGAGGCACAGTAATAAAAAGGAACTGTGGGCCTGGAGAAGAGTCCTTGTCTAGGTAGCTGGGTACCAGGAGCCCGTGGGGCACGGAAAGGGGCCTTACATGCCCTGCTCTGCTGCAGCCAGCATGGGACTGAGGGCAGCTCAGACAGGTCTCTGGGCTGTGGGGACTGTTGTGGATTTTCAGGTCAAAGTGTTCAGACAGCCTACAGAGCCCCTGCTCAGTGGGCCTGGTCACCCACCTGCTGGCGGTGGGGAGAAAGGCAGTTGGGGAGGGGCAGAGGTTGGGGAGGGGCAGAGGTTGGGGAGGGACTGAGGCTACAGCTAGGAGAGAGGGAGGGAGAGACAGAGCAGGGGAGGGAGGAGGGGGGAGGCTCCAACTGCCTGGGGGAGGCAGCACTTGCTGGGATCTGACCCTGGATTTCCCTTCAGGCTTTGCGGTCCTGGTGCTGCTCCAGTGCTGTAAGTAACCCCCACCCCACACTTGAAGTCCTGGGAGGAGGCGTGGTGAGGGCCCAGGGTGGGTGTGGAGGAGGCCTGGGCACCAGGGAATACTTTTCCAGTTTCTTCTGTGATCCAAGTGGCTTGGCAACATTCACACTTGTTAAACTGTGGTGATGAGTGTATGGGCGTTTCATATTATGCTCTTCTGTATACTAGAAAATTCTCAAAATAGCACACTTAAAAAGGTTCAGGTTCAGCAAAGGCTTAGACTAGCAGCCCCTGGGAACCACTAATACAAGCTCAGTAGCCGCATAAATGATGTCCACTGTTCTGCCTCCCCAACCAAGAGGCCAGAAAAGACTGAATTTGCAATAGGAGAAGTTAGAATTAGAGGAGAGGAAGGACTTCCTGGTCCCTTGTGATATTGTGCCCCAGCTTGGGAGACCTGCCAAAGGAGCCCAGGACTGCCTTCTGGGTGGGTTACAAACTAGCGGCACTTCCATCAGGCGGCAAAGAAGAGGGGGGCAACAGCCCCTTTTGGATCAGGGACCCCAATGCAGGTCCTGAAAAGCTCCAGCCTTGAAGGTGGCAGCCATGTCTGACACTGCCTGTCTTGGGCTGGGTTCTTCCTCTTCCACAAAGGCACTGCCTCCAGGAAGACTTTTGTACTTGCCACGGAGTCCCATTTACCTTTATTCATCAACTCCTACCCTCACCCCACATGATGTCCTATTTTTAGTTTGCAGGATATTCATCCACTGTGTTTGCTCTTTTCTAAGCATTTTCAGAATAGGCCTTATTTTCATCTGAGAACTCCCCAGAGGCAGGGGCCTGCTCCTTTCACTTAAGAATTTGGGTTCTGCACACTACTCTGCCCCACCCCTCTCCCCACCCCATGAATGCTCAGCTCTGGGCTCATCCGGTCTCTTGCTGAATCCTGGCCAGGCCTCAGCCCAGACTTCTCCTCCAGGCTCTGCATACAAACTGGTCTGCTACTATACCAGCTGGTCCCAGTACCGAGAGGGCGATGGAAGCTGCTTCCCTGATGCCATTGACCACTCCCTCTGCACTCACATCATCTACAGCTTTGCCAACATAAGCAACAACCAGATTGACACCTGGGAGTGGAATGATGTGACGCTCTATGACACGCTGAACACACTCAAGAACAGGTTGGGCCACGGGCCGGCCAGGACAGGAGGAAGACAGAGGGTTTGCTGGGCTGGTCCCAGGGCAGGGCAACCCCACCCAGGAGAATGGCAGAGGGCCCACAGTCCCCACCTCTGGGTGGAGAATGGGGCTTTGGCTTAAGTGGGAGGCGGTGATGGAGGTGGGTGCTGGGCAGTATTTGGGGTGATGACAGAGGCGGGCTGCAGGAGGTATGGCTGAGCTCCTCAGGCAAGGGAAGCCCTCTTCTTCCCCTAGGGGTGTCCTTCCCGGGAGCATGCCAAATGCTCAGGACTCTGCTTTGCTGTGCTCTGGCTTGCCCACTAAGGGAACAAAAATGGGCAGCATATCCCAGAGGAACTGCCATGATGCCTGTGACCTCTCAGAACCCTGAATGAGAACATCAGAGGCCTAATCCAGCCTCTCACCTAAAGCTAAAAACCTACTATGGCCTCCCAGAAATGGGCCTACCCAGTATCACAACAACTTCATTCCACCCCTGCCCTCCCTACCTCTCTGTGCCCGCAGGAATCCCAACCTGAAGACCCTCCTGTCTGTCGGAGGATGGAACTTTGGATCTCAGAGGTAAGACCCATTCTCCGGGGCAGGACTACAGAGGATAGTGGAATATGAGTGAGGAGGCTTGGATCTCCCCCAGCTCTAGGGGCTCCAGACTGGCTAGACACAGAAGTCTATCTTGTTGTCTGGGGCCTGCCTCATGTATAGTCAAGAAACCAGAGCCCAGAGAGGGAGAGGAGCCTGCCAAGAGTCACACAGCAAGTTGACAGCAGATCACCTGATTCCTTGCCCATGCTCTGTTTACTACCACTCAGGCCTGAAAACATAAGACTTCTGGGGCTACTGCCTGAAGGCCAGAAGGAGAGGCATGGAAATCAGTAGGAAAATCAGGGGTGTAGAGACGCTGGGAGGATGCTTTAGAGTAGGTAGAGTTGAATTCAGCCTTGGAAAAGGGGTGGGATGGCCATAAATGTTCCCACTTATTCAGTGCTCATTGTGTGTCTGTCATCCTTTCCCACCAGTATTGCATGTCATCCTCATAACAGCACTGTGAGCTGTTATAATTATCCCCACTTTATAGAGGAAGAAACTGAGACTTAGACTTAGGCTATAACCTGCTCAAAGTGGCTGGCTAGCTTATGATAGAGCCAGGCTTGGAAACCAGGACTGTCTGGCTCCAGAGCATATGGATTTCTACTAGAAACCTACTATGGTTTCTAAGATTCCTGGAGGTGGGTCCTGTGCCAACCATGTCCTCCTAGAGCTGTGGAGCTCCAGGCCCCAGAAACCCCACCAGAGGGCCATGGCACCTAGCATAGCAATGCTGAGCACACTATGCGGGTGATTTTGGTCCTAGATTTTCCAAAATAGCCTCCAATGCCCAGAGTCGCAGGACTTTCATCGAGTCAGTGCCACCATTTCTACGGACCCATGGCTTTGATGGGCTGGACCTAGCCTGGCTCTACCCAGAACGGAGAGACAAGCAGCATTTCACCACTCTAATCAAGGTGCTGGTCAAGAAAAAGGAAGGGAGGTGGGCAGCCATCAGGGAGTGGATTACAAGCTGTCTTCAGCTAATGTCTCCCTGGGGACAGACAGAGGGACTTCAGCCTCCTCACTGCAGGGTCCTAGGACCCTGGGCCCTGGAGATCTTCCACAGTAAGGGAGACATCTTGCGACCATGGTGAAGGTGGGGATGGGTTCCTAAGTGGTAGAAGGTCATGACTGGGCAGAGGACCCACTCATCACTACTGACTTAGTGCAATGTCATTGTCCACTCTTCAGTCCCATACTGATGCACTCACTACCCAGCATGCACTGTGTCCAGGGACACTCAGCTCCATCTGGGGGCAAACCAAGCATCTCCAGTTACCAGGGGCAGAGTGATGGTCTATACAAATTGTCCACAATATCGATATAAATCACTTTAGTTTCGTGGTTTCATGAGCCAGCTAGGACAAAACCCAGAGAGGCAAATGTCTCAACATCCTTGGTGTGACCATTGTGATCACCCACTGCTCTGACGGTCCATCCAGGACTGGGCATAATTAAGTGCTGATGAGTATGTATGGGGCTTGGAATCGAGATGGTCCAAACAGTTTTCTGGGGAAAGGATGGGTGGTCCTGAGGGTGGGACCACTGATGAGCTCCTTTATTATTTCCACAGAGCCCCAGGCAGGGCGGGGATCATAGCAGATGGGGAAGGTCAGTGAGGTGCTCAGAGACCTCCGTCTCCCTCGACGACTTTCCTTCGCACACCACCGGATCCCTTTCACTCACTTCCCTGTCTTCCATCTAGGAAATGAAGACTGAATTTGCGAAGGAAGCCCAGTCAGGAAAAGAGCAGCTCCTGCTCAGTGCCGCAGTGTCTGCGGGGAAGGTCACCATTGACAGGGGCTATGACGTCGCCCAGATATCCCAGTGAGTCAGCCTCCACAGAAGCTTCTGCCAACACTCCTCCTTTTCCAGGCCAGCATTGGGTGTAGACTTAGGAGACAGGGATCCTAGTCCCACTTTTCCAAAACCTAGATGTGTGACCTTGAGCAAAACACTTCTCCACCCCGTGCCTCAGTTTCTCCATCTGTCAAATGGAGCATCATAATCCTTGCCCTTTTTTACTTGGAGTGCTGTTAACCAATTGAGAAGGCTGCTATGAACATATTTTGAAAAAGGAAGTAGAAAAAGCTATACAAACCCACCGGCCACCACGGGATACTTTCTCCATGGAGGCTGGGCAGAGTGCTTGTCCCAGGAAGGGCAACACGGCAGCGTGAACACCTTCTAGAATGCAGGGAGGTCCTCAAGGTGCTCTCTCACACACAGGCAACCTCCTTTCCTGTTGGCTTCGCACCTTCTGGCGGGTGGCAGGTCTTACTCAGCCCACACCCTGCATGTGAGCAGGAGCTGACAGCCAAACACCTCATCTCTCCCTGAAGCAAAGGCACAGACCTTGGGAAACCCAGGGGCAAGAGAGCAAGACTTCACCATGACTTTAGTATCTTTGAAATGAGATTTGGAATCTTCTTTAGGGTTTTAGGGAGGTGTAAATTCAGTGTTTCATTAAATTGATCCTTGCGGAGGGCGGGAAGAGGTGGCTCTCAGCCACTTGCCCCAAATACCTGAAGCTCATATTCATGCAGTCCACCCGCAGGCTACACCGTAGGGCAGGTGTACAAAACCTTCTTCCACCTCAGTGCAGCTTAGGCTCAGGCCGGACTTTGGTCCTGCCGTCCCCCCACTAGGCTGTCTGCTGAGGCTACTATTAATTTGCTTTCACCAAGATGAGCATGGCAGGAGTAGAGAGGTAAGGTGAGATGGAAGCTGGTTCCCAAAGGTGTGCTGAGTGGAGCAGAAGACCCCACTCTTGCCTGAAGTGCCCGTGTGGGGCCCTGAGCCTGCTTCCTGGCATGGCACGGGAAGGTGGAGCAGCAGCCAGGATAACAGCCACTGGGAATTGCTGGGGTTCAGGCTGGCAGCCTGTCCGGCAGCTGCCTGCTTCCCCTGTTCACATCCTGCCTCAGCCTTAACTTTTCTCATTTCCTGCCTCTCCCTCCACCCCTTCCTCCTCAGACACCTGGATTTTATGAGCATCATGACCTACGATTTTCACGGAGTCTGGCGCCAGACTACAGGTCATCACAGTCCCCTGTTTCGCGGCCAGTCGGATACAAGTCCTGACAGATTCAGCAATGTTGTGAGTAACCGGAAGGAGGGAAGGCTAGGAGGAGGCCGCAAAGACCTGCCACCAGCCAGTGCTCACACACCAACCCCTCTACTTCTCAGCACAATCCTGAAAAGGCAGGATTACCGGGCCTAGTTCACAGATGAGGAAACTGAAACCCAAAGTCTGTGCATTCTCCATGGCTCCAGAAGAGTGGCCTGCAGGGGGCACTGAGTGAAGGCAGGAGACAGCATGGAGAGAGGCTGGGGGAAGAGGAGGTGGGAGTCTAGCCTCACCCTGCCCTTCGCTTGCAGTGTAGCCAGAGCCAATCGCCTGGTTTCTGCACCTGTCAAATAGTAATAATCCCTTGCTCTGCCTAAAATGATTTGTTTGAGAATGAAGCCATAAAATTCATTTTAAACTGACATTATCAGTTCCCAGAGGGATGCAGAATCTCAGATACGCCACGTACCTATTACCCCTGTCCGAGGCAGCAGTATTAACAGCGTAGCCTTTCGCATCCCACACCACTGGCCCAGCTAACTGCTCGCACTGTCTCTGCCTTACCCTGCCCAGGACTATGCTGTGGGGTACATGTTGAGACTGGGGGCTCCTGCCAACAAGCTGGTGATGGGCATCCCCACCTTCGGGAAGAGCTTCACTCTGGCCTCTTCTGAGACGGGTGTCGGAGCCCCAATCTTGGGGCCAGGAACACCAGGCCGGTTCACCAAGGAGGCGGGGACTCTCGCCTACTATGAGGTAATAGAGTTGGGGGAGAAGGTACGATTTACCCTGACATCACCAGCACCCTGGGGAAGGTGATGCCCCTCCCCACCCTTGCTTTTGTTCAGGTGACCCAGCTTGCCTGAGGAAGAGGGGGGTGGTTAGGCCTTTTGCTACTAAAAGTCCAGCGGGTGCAGGCACTGGGTCTACATCACCCAGTTCCCGGGATACCTCCCTGGCTGCAGAGCCTAGGTCTTCCTTCCAGCCCAGGAAAGAGCAGTGGCCAAGAGGCAGACTGCTTCATTCTAGCCTCTGCTGCTTTTGGCCTTGGGCCTGTCCTCATTTCTCACATCTCAGTTTAAATAGAGAAAGAATCAGAACCCCCCCAGAGCCCTCAAGCTAAGACTGCCACACATTCTGGGACATTTGCATCTGCTTTACATAAATTTGCATGAGGTCTGCAGCCTACAAGCCCTGGAGAGAGTAAGGCTACATGATGAAGCAGGGGCTGAAAGAGATTTGGGAAGTGACATCTCCTGGTGACCTGCAAAGTCTCGGCACAACCCCAACACAATCTCTGTTCTGTTTTCTGCTCAGATCTGTGACTTCCTCCACGAGGCCACAGTCCATAGACTCCTGGGCCAGCAGGTCCCCTATGCCACCAAGGGCAACCAGTGGGTGGGATATGATGACCAGGAGAGCATCAAACGCAAGGTAGGTTTCCCCAAGGCCACATCTCAGGATAAAGAGGAAGAGGGAGGCCTGCTCCAAGCAGGCAGGGTCCAGTTCCTGCGCTGGGGACTGGGCTGAGTGGGTTTCAGTTACCCACAGGGCACGTTTTCCCCATACACACCCCAGCCCAGGGAACCCAACCTTGCCCCTCTGGGCCTCCCCTGCCAGGTGCAGTACCTGAAGAACAGGCAGCTGGCGGGCGCCATGGTGTGGACCCTGGACCTGGATGACTTCCAGGGCTCCTTCTGCAGCCAGAATCTGCGCTTCCCTCTCACCAGTGCCATCAAGGATGCACTCACTTCGACTTAGCCCTCTGTCCTTCAGCACACAGTAGGGACCAAGGAAGCCCCCTCCCCCACCCTCTGGCTTCAGCTGGCCAGAAGCCTGGTCATGCACCACACTGAGTCCCCAGCTAAGCCTCAGTCCCCTCCCTTGGAACTTGTGCTGAGAGCCAGAACACCGAAATTTGAGCTCAGCTCTGGTCGGCAGAGAGGTAGGGTTGAGGCTCTAGGGACAGTGAGGGCCCGGGGAGGAGCACACTATAAGACATAGGATCAGTACACACCTGTTGATTAATGGAGATGCTCACAGACCCCAAGCCTGGCACGAGGGAATTTCTTCAAGTCCCTTCCTTACCCACACCCCTCCTCATCAAAGGATACCATTTTGGCAAGCTCTACCACCAAGTGGCCAAACATCCTACAAGACATAGTGACCATACTAATTATACCATCTGCAAAGCCCAACTTGAAACCTTCACTTAGGAATGTAATCATGTCTCCTATCCTACTTCCCTTTCCTAATTCCCCAGCTGCTCAATAAAGTCTAAGAGCTTAACAGTGTGTTGGCACTTGTTGGAGTCTATCTTTGTGGACCCACCATTGGACTTACCAGCCCCATCTCTTTTGGATTCCTTTCTCTGAGGCTTGGGAGCCCTGAGCTTGCCAAGGTGAAACCACCATGTCCTCTGCCAGACCCCAGGGAGCCTGAATGGTAGGCCCCCATCCTCAGATTCAGGTACCTTGGACTCAACCCAAGCATGGCTGTTGGCCTTCCAGATATTAAAGTCATTGTCATCCAGACTTCTAAATTAAGTTCCTTGTTGAAAGATACCTCTTCTCTTTCCTGAAGGCTAGCAGGCACTGGGAAAGAAGCCCTTAATTTAATCTCTTCTGACCTACAGGAAGGTGGTGGCAGCCCTAAACTCTGGACCCTCGGGACCAGAAGGAAACACAGACCATCTCATGCCTCCCTCCTGCCTCCTGGGGCTGGAGTATCTTGAGAGATGACCCTCCAGCCTCCCCCATCCTCCCATCAAGGGGCAGTTCATAACCCTGGAGGCAAGCCCATCCCATTGCTGGACTGAAGTCTGTCAGCCATCCTAGTGCTGGGCTTAGCCCTCTGTCCTGTTCACCTCCCCTCATACCCATTCCTCGACCCATATGGAGATCAGAGCACCTCTGTTTAAGCGGGCCTGAGGCACGAGGTTTGGGGGAGGATGGGATGGGATGACTTGGAAAAACAGCCAGTTTTCTAACCTTTATGAGATGGAGATGCTCTCACCAGGTTCTATTGCGTTCCCAGGGCCCTAGGCATGCCTTTACCCAAAGAGGGTCCAGATACACCCTCCAAACTAAAGATAATTTATTTGTGGATTCTCTGGTGTTTGGATTATCTGGGACTTGGGATAATCACCGGTTGGCCTGATGGTTTGTGATTCTGATTTGAGATGGAGGGAAGGAAATATCTGAAATCTGAACCAGCTGGAGCTAGGCAGATGCTACTGATCCCAAGGTCACAGCCCTGCTAAAGGCAAAGCAAGTGAGGACTTGGCCAGAGCCTGGTAAGGGGGGTACCTGGCCACTTCCCTGCTGGCCAAGAGGGGCCAAGGATTCCTTAATCCCTGTCACAGCCCACCCTACCACATGAGGGTCTTTGAAACCCCAGGACTGCAAGCCATCCTGGACAGCCAATCTCCTTCCCCTGGGGCCACCCTTCCCCCAGCCTGGGACAGGCTCTCCAAGGCTGACTCAGGGTCCTGCTGGGTTAGTCACATTCGCTTATAGCTGCAGAGTCAGAGGCCAAGGATGGAGATCGGGTCTCCAGGACCCGCTCCCTGACTGGCAAGACACTGAGTCACCCAGCAGAGGACAAGGCACCCAGGCAGGGCCAGGCCTAGAGGCTCCCAGGCTCTCCACATCCACTCCTCCACAAAGACAGCCGGGGTTGAGAGGCGGCCACACTCCTGTGTTCCCTGTCCCCGGGAAGGGGGAGAGCGTGCACCTGGCTGAGGGTCTTGAATAAACTGTATGTTTATTTTTAAGCTGTGAAATACATTTCTACATGCTAAAAGGTGCATACAACGTATTTGTGTAATTTAAAAACTTGTGTAACCACCACCCAGGACAGGAAATGAAACCTCATTAGCACCCCTGAAGCCTCTGCAGTCTCATACACGCCTGTCCCTCCACTTACAAGCAACTGCTTCGCAGGCGTTTGTGCTCACCCTGGCCTTGCCCCTTCCTTTATGGCCTTTCCGCCTACGAGCACACCTTGAAGAAGAGATGGATGATGTCACACCACTCCTGCATTCCCTCTTCTTTGCTCGGATCTCCCGTGCTGTTGGGCGTAGATGAAGTTCACTCATTTTATTCCATATTTTGCTTCATAGCTGCACAAACGCCTCATAGTTATTTATCTATCTCACTCTTGAGGAACAGTCATTTCCCCCCGGATGTCAGTAATTACAAACGCTCCTGCGAACATTCTCCTCTCTGCCTCCTGGGCGCATGTGGGCGCTCCTAGGAGTGGACTGACGGGTCACAGAGTGGGCACCTCATCCCTTGTACCAGGAGCTGTCTCACTTTTCCAGAGTGGCTACCCCAATCCACAATCCCCCCAGCAATGAAAGTCCTCATACCATCCCCTCCTTCCTGACACAGGGTATTTTCTGGCTTTCAAATGATTATCAGTCTTAACATTTCACTGAATGAGCACATCAATGACTAGAAATTAGAAATTTGGCCATACCTGCCTCATTTTCCACACTGGGAATGTCCGTGCCCACGGCCTGCTTCAAAGAGTCTAGAAGTTTCCATGAGCTGTCCTCCAGCACAGTCTCTTCAAGACCTGTCTATGACTGCAACCCACTCCCACAGGCTAAAGGTTCTCTGCAATAGATAGAAAACGGAGGCCCCGATTCCCCATCTTCACCAGGCTCGCCTGTGGAGACAGGGACTAGGAGGCTCAGTCCTCCTTCCAGGGGTCCCATTGTTGGAGGACCTCCTCCAACCACCCCCACCTTGGGCATCTCAGTTCCCTCCCTCTCTAGGATCCTCAACCTCATACAGCACGGGGGAGGGTCCCCAGACACTGTGGGGGACCAGGGGCATGCTGACCCCAGGGGCAAAGCTGGCGGTGCTCACAGGGCAGGCTGTTCCAGGCTGTCTGGGCCCCAGCACCCAGTCCGAGAGGACACAAGCAGCCCCACAGAGGCCAGACACACAGTCTGAGCAGAGCTCATTCTCCAGTTAGAAGCTCTTTCTCCCGTTGCCCTGACGCCTGGCACAGGCCCCCGTCGATGTCCCATCTTACCCATCAGCACCCTCCCCCATCTGGGCACCAGCACCCTGGCTGCGGAGGGCCAGTCAGGGTGATAGACGAGGTGGCGTGCTCCTCAGGGGGCCCGTGTGGTTCCTCCCCCGGAGCTATTCCTGGCCTGGGCGCCTCCCCACCTCTCAGTCCCCCTGCTTGACCTGACCCCACAGCTGGGAATCGCTTGCTGGGGGCGGGGCAGCCCCTGACTATATAAGCCTGGTCCTAAGTATCCCAGGCACCGTGGAGGCCCAGACCCCCCACCGCTGACCCCTGAACACCACAGCCTGACCCCCAGCCAGTCCAGCAATGATGGAAAAAGCCCCTTCCGAGGCCCCTGGCCCAGAGGAGGCCACGTCTGAGTCTGCCCAGGTGCCCACCACAGAGCCTCCCGGAGAAGCCGCAGCATCTGAGGCCGCTGGGGAAGGGCGGGCTCCTGAACCGCAGGAGGCTGCCTCCCAGACCCCTGCCCCTGCTGAGCCCGCAGCCCCTGCCGCTGCCCCCACGGCCCCTGCAGACACTAAGCCTACACCCTCAAGTGAAGGTGACCAGAGTGGAGGCAGGTGGAGGAGGGAGGCAGGCGTGCGGGGTGTCCAAGGGGGCTCCTGGCCACGAACCTCTTCATCCCACCCTGGCTTCTCCCAGATGTCCCCAGTGCCCCACAGCTGCTGACCCTGGAGGACGTGAGCAGCAGCTCCGTGACCGTGAGCTGGGAGCCCCCAGAGAAGCTGGGGAGGCCAGGCCTCCAGGGCTATGTGCTGGAACTCTGCCGAGAGGGAGGTGAGTGCTGGGCTAAGTGAGCCACCCAACCCACCACTTCTGGCCCCACCAGGGACTGTCTTCAGGCAGGGGGATGTCCAGAGGACCTCAGAAGCCCCCTTATCTTCAGCTCCAAGGAGCCTCTGAGCAACAGAAGGGTGGGAGACTGCTCTGATGAGAAGGGAAGGAGGTGCTGAGTCTCAGAGGGTGCTGGGGGTCAACACAGGGTATGGGGAGCAGAAAAACCGGAAAGGGGGAATGTAGAGGGATTCAGAGGCAGTGAGAGGGGAGAGGGAACAAGGCCAGGGGTTGTTCTGGCTATATCCCTGCTGCTACTGTCCTCCTCCATAGCCCAAGTTCAGTCAGGCCTCTGCCTCTGTCCCTACCTTGCTGTGTGAATTTGCAAACGTATCTAACCTTCTCTGGGCTTCAGCAACCCCCTCTCTGGCCACCATTTCTGGGTTCTAACATCAGGTGTCTTTGATGCCATTTGATAAGCTGTCAGGGAAGGGAAACAAGGAGGAAATAAGGCCCAGAGAGGGATATTGACTTTCCCAGATCAGCAGCAGAAAGGAAAGCCCCGTGGAGAGGGTGCCCATGGTCACATGGCCAAGCCCTCACACTCTCTCCATTCCTCTCAGCCTCCGAGTGGGTGCCTGTGAACGCCCAACCCATGATGGTGACCCAGCAGACTGTGCGGAACCTGACTCTGGGAGACAAGTTCTTCCTGCGAGTGTCTGCAGTGAGCCCTGCAGGGGCCGGCCCACCCGTCGTGCTGGACCAGCCTGTCCATATCCGAGAGAAGATCGGTAAAGCCCTTCCTGTCCTTCTGCTCCCCAGCCCTTCCCAGGTATCTTACCTAATAGAGAAACTGAGGCCAATGGGCAGGAGCTAGGCAGTCATTTCCCCCGTCCCCCACTCACATGCACAAGCCACACGCTAATCACCATCTTGCCTTAAGAAAGTTCCAGTTTTGTCCGCAGCAAGGGGCCTCTGGAGGTCTAAGAAGCCATTTCCCTGAGTGTTCCAGCCCCCAAGCATCAGGGTAGGGCTTCTTGATCCCCAGAAATGAAAGCTCAAGTGCCCTGGGTCACCTGCCTCAGGGTCCCAATGCTACGAGTCCATCTGCTTCCTCCTATCTGGTCTTAACCCCTCCAGTGGCTCCTTTTCTGCCCATTGCCTATGCCCTGGCTCCAGATCCTCCCAAATGCTCTGGGACAGGAAGATTCTGTGTGCCCCTTGACCCACCACGGCCCTTGTGGGAAGAAAAAGCGGGTCTGAAAAGACCCATGAAGACTTCTTCATCCCAAAGGGCAGTGCCTTGCTGGGGACGTGGAGCCAGCTGCTGTCCCATTGCTAATATTTCTATTTGCAGGGTGCATCAGCCTCAGTCCTTCCCTCACTCCCCTCCCAGGGCCGATTGGGTTTCAGTCTGTTAATGGCAGTGAGTCATTTGGTCTGGTCTGAGGCCTCTGGGGGCAGCGCAGTGCCCCAAGGTGAGGAGAGATACGGGCCAGCAGGTGGCCCAAGGCCTTCTCCACCTTCCTCTTGTTCCTCCACCAGAGGGACTCACGAATTCTGGCAGAGGCTGGGGCAGAACCTCTGGACAAGGCCTGGACAAGTTCTGGACAAGGCCTCCAGGAGTAGAGGTTATCCCCAAGAGGGGCTGGATCTGGATTCGAGGAAATACTCAACTTCAAGACCCACGAGACATGGGAACCATGGGGTTAGGGAGCTGAGACTCGCAGACTGTCTCAGCTGTTCCATCCCAGCCAAGCAGAGCTCAAGGAGCGTGGGACTCCCTCAAGGTCACCTGGCTTTTTAGTGGCAGTCCCAGAGGCTGATGTCCACACGAGATTGTTCAAGTCCCACCACACTGCAGGGCATCTCTTCGGGTAGCATTCAAAACCCAAGGACCTCTCCAGTCTCTGGGTCTGGGGGAGATACGGTCCTACCTGGCAGCTGCAGTATGGACATGTTGACTCTAGCTTGCAGGTGCCAAGAAGCCCTCCCGGTTGGGTGGGTCATGGAACTTCCCCCATGGCCCCAGGAAGCCCAGACTCTGAGAGGCTCCCTGAGGCCCAGCGTTGAAGGAGCCAGCCAGAATCAGCACCCACTTCTCCATTGAAATGCCTCTGGCAGGAGAGAAGGGGATTTCCTGGAGAGAAGAGGGGAGGAGGCTGTGAGCAAGTGGGGAACAGCCAGGCTTGCTGTGGGCAGGGCAGGGAGGGGGGTTGCCTCCGGGATCCTTGGCTGCTCAGCTGTCCCTTCTCGGCCACCTGGAGCTGCCAAGCATTCCTGGCCCCCTGCAGCTGTCCCCAGAGCATTCCACACCCGATGCTCCCAGAGCCAAGTGCCTGCTCAGCTAATCCTCAGAGACACCGTGTTCCTTCTCACTGTCTCGTCCTCCTCCGCCCTGCGTGCCACCAACCAACTGCTGCCACCTGTGTGCTGCTGAGGAGCCTCAGTCCTGTCCCCAGCTCCTACTCGGGGGACAGGGGCAGTGGCCACTGCAGCTTTTCATGACATGCCTGGTGGCTTCAGTGGTTGCTGCTGACTAGGTGATAGTCAGAAGGTGGTTCCCTAGCCCAGCCAGGGGCTGAGACAGAACTTGAGGAAGGACTTCCCAACCGTGGGATTAATGGGTTGCGGGAGGGGGACAGAGGGAGAAGGGGGTTTACCTGTCCTGGCCCCATTTGGGAAGAGGAAGTTCTTAAATCATCCCAATAGGGCCTGGATACAGAGGAATGGGATAACGGGGTTCATAAGGGCTCCCCTGAAAGACTGGTGGAGGGTGTGGGTGCTGATTGTCCAGAAGACAGCCTCGCCTCCCTTCCTAGAAGTACAGTTCGACAGGTGCAGCACCTGCTCCCCAGCAGGGGGAGACAGAGAGCCAGCTGGGGCCCATCTGGTACTTGGGAATTCCTGAGCTGCAGGGCAAATCCCGGCCTGGCAGAGTCAGGGCGCCAAGGGAGTGCCCGAGATGCTTACCAGTTCACACCATGGAGGCCCTGACCTCTCTGAAACCTCCCAACTCCCTTAAGGAATTCGGGCCCCTAGACCTTGAGGGAGAGAGCTTCTCCCTGCCCACAAGGAGGCAGCCCATGGCGGCCAGAACATACCCAGAAGCCCTTCTGCCTGGCCAGCAACCCTTGCCAGCTGTCCTCACCCTTGCCTCAGAGGTCCCCGACTGGCTACCCCACTACAGCGCTAAGCCTAGACTCTTGCTTTGATGCAGAGGCCCCCAAGATCCGTGTTCCCCGCCACCTTCGTCAGACCTACATCTGCCAGGTGGGAGAGGCTGTCAATCTGCAAATCCCCTTCCAGGTGGGTATGCCTCACCAAAGGCAGGAGCCTGGGTGGAAACCAGGGTCCCAAATTCTCAGGGTTGTCAGGGAAGCTTAGAAATGTCAGGATCCCCATGGAGTTCTGGCTGGGACCCATCAAGATGGCTTCATCGTCCCTCAATCGTGCACATGACTCAGCTGTGATTCTCCAGCCTACAGGAGGACAGGCAGGAGGGCCCCAGAGCAGGCTGGACTCCAGGGCAGGCTGGACACCTGGAGGAGGCGGCTCTGGGCAGCACCTGGGGCTCCAGTCTCTGCTACCCTCATGAGAAGGGCCAATGAGACAGGCTCCCCCAGGGCATAGCTCCAGAAACCCCTGGAGTTGGGTGGGTGTAGGGGTGCCGGCAACCCCCTGCACTCAACCTGAGGGTTTCTCCCTGTCAGGGGAAGCCGAAGCCTCAGGCCACATGGACTCACAATGGCCACGCCCTGGACAGTCAGCGGGTGAGCGTACGTGCTGGGGACAAGGACTCCATCCTTTTCATTCGCTCGGCCCAACGCTCAGACTCAGGCCACTACGAGCTCACTGTGCGGTTGGAAGACTTGGAGGCCAAGGCAGGCGTTGACATCCTGGTGATTGGTACGGGGGCCAGGGGAGACAGGATTGCCTCACTGGGGACCCAGGGACCCGTATCCTAGCCTAGAGTCAGTGGCTGATGGGAGCAGGCCAAGGGAACGTGGCAGGAGGCAAATCTTGGGTGTGGGGACTTTGTGGCAAGCCCAGCCTTTCTTCATACTTGTGACAGGCCCACTTACCTTTCTTCACACTTTGGTCCTGCAGAGAATCCTGGACCCCCCAGCAGCATCAGACTACTGGATGTCTGGGGCTGCAATGTCGCCCTTGAGTGGACACCACCCCAGGACACAGGCAACACAGAGCTCCTGGGCTACACAGTACAGAAGGCAGACAAAAAGACAGGGGTGAGGCCGACGGGGGCAGAGCGGGTCAGGATAGGAAGTGGTTAAGGTGGGTGGGAAGACCCAACCCCCTAAGAGTCTTAGGGACCAAGTTCTGATCTAACTCCCGCTAACCTGACCCCCCACGTGGCCCTTGGCAAGACTCTTTCCCTCTCTGGGCCTCAGTTTCCCCCTGAAGACAGCAAGGAGAGCCGGATTGAGCTCTCTGAAGCCTTTCAAGCCCCCAAAGCCATGCTTCTGAATTTTAATGTGCATATGATTCACGTGAGGATCTTGCTAAGCTGTAGATTCTGACTCTGTAGGTCCAGAGTGGGCGCTAAGATCCCACATCTCTAAGTTTCCACGTGATGCTGAGGTTGCATATCTGCAGGCCACACTTTGAGCAGTAAAGCTCTGGAATTCTCTGAGAACCCCACAGGGGTCACCTGAGTGACCCAGTGGTCCCTTCTCCCGATTCAAAGTCCCCAGGGCCCAGAACTGGATGGTCCAGCTCCCAGGGTTGGGGGCATGGAATGAGCCCCTCTGAGGAAGGGCTGCAGGATAAGCAGGGAGGGTGAGGACAGGGGTGAGAGGTGAGGGTGACAGGGCTGGGGTCCCTGCAGCAATGGTTTACGGTACTGGAGCGCTACCACCCAACCACCTGCACCATCTCCGACCTCATCATCGGCAACTCGTACTCCTTCCGAGTCTTCTCAGAAAACCTGTGTGGGCTCAGTGCCTCTGCCGCAGTCACCAAGCAGCTTGCTCACATCAAGAAGACAGGTGGGTTTGGGCCCGGGGCCGGCCATGCTGACTCTGGCCCTGTCTCTGACTCTTCCTTGGTGTCTCCACACCTCTCTCTTGACTTCTGGGTGCCTGCCCCCAAGCATTTGCTGCCCTCTCACTCCACAGCTACACACACACACACACACACACACACACAGACACACACACACACACACACAGGCAGAGTGACTGCAAAGTAGGGGTTGTGGTTGATTGATTTTAACAAACACATCAGAGCAAACCCACGCCAATGAAAGGTGCCCCCCTGGGAGGCAATGTACTTTTTCTAAAGCCACGTGTGGCTGCTAGCATCACAGCCTCGCAGCATCCCACGGCGGCAACCTGAAGGGCAACATGGACATTTAGGTGGTCTCTGGTGAGTCTGCAAGAACAAGCCTCCCAACCCCAACCCACATCACACAGATGGACAACAGAGATAAGGGTGTTTACTGTCTCCACACGGGCACCTGACCCTCTTGCGTCAAATGGCAAATGCCAAGCCCTTCTCCCTGCCCCCGGTGTGCTCCAAGGCCCCCAACCCTGAGTCTGTGTGGCCTCCAGAAGGCACACTCTTCTTAACACCTGCCCGAGCTGCCCAGAATTAGCAAGAATTTTTTCTTTAAAAAGGAAAGCCCGTCAGGTCTCCAAAAGACAAACAAAAATGAACTGGGATGTCTGTGTGTTGCCGGCCTCCCCCTTCCACCAAGGTCATCTCGACTCTGTTTTTTCTGCCCCTGATTCTCTCTGCTGACTGCCCTGGTCTGCCCACCTAGGTGTGGTCTCAGCTTCTCTAAGTTCCCACAAATAGGCCGTGACTGGTTTCCCACAGATCCCAGACGAGGTGGGTCCTAAAGAGGTCGCCTTCATACTTGTCACCTCAAATTCACCCCCACTCTCTCTCCTGCACCCAGATATGACTGCCAAACTCAAAGGGTTTGTCGGGCGAGATTTCTCAGAGGCTCCCTCGTTCACCCAGCCCCTGGCTGACCACACCTCCACCCCTGGCTACAGCACGCAGCTGTTCTGCAGTGTCCGAGCATCACCCAAGGTGAGGGGTTAGCCCCTCCCCATCCTGGGCTCCTGGGGGCAGTGGGGCTGAGAAATCTGCCTCCGCCTGATGCCGGTCTTGGAGAGCCGCATCGGGGGCTGCACCCCTCCCATGTGACCATGCCTCCCAGCCCAAGATCATCTGGATGAAGAACAAGACAGAAATCCAGGGCAACCCCAGGTACCGCACCCTCTCTGAGCAAGGCATCTGCACCCTGGAGATCCGGAAATCCAGCCCCTTTGATTCTGGGGTCTACACCTGCAAGGCCATCAACGTGCTGGGGGAGGCATCTGTGGACTGCCGATTAGAGGTCAAAGGTGAGGGTTTGAGGAGGGCTGCTCCTTAGGGACCCTCCCGTGAGTGGGCGAGTGTAAGACATCTCTCTGGAGCTGGGATAGAGCTGAAAATCAAGGCAGGAGAGAAGGGGTAGTAAGACTGGGGTTAGGCTGTGTCAATGACTTTCCAAACGGGAGGGTGGCCCGGTGGGGGGGAGGGCACCTTTCCCCTTCTGACTGCAGAGTCTCTTCCAGCCTCAGCCACACACTGAAGAGCCGAAAGAAGAGGCTATGGCGAGGAGACAGGTAAAAGGCTGCACTCACTCCCTCTGCCACCTTGGGGTGACCCAGAAGCTGAGAGGAGGCCGGGAGCAGGGGTTGGGGGTGAGAAGAGAAGGAAGCACTCAGCCCTGGGGACAAATCTGCAGCCACAGACAACCAACACACGTGTCCACATACATGCAGTGATGCTGCCTGATGGGGCGATGATGGGAGGCCTGCAAGGGAGTGATGGTCCCAGCAGATGGTCCCAGGACAGGAGTCTGGGCCTGGCTCTGAGTGACCTGGAGCAGAGGTGGTCTCTTGGGACATGTTTCCTCAACAGAAAAGTGGGGACAACAACCTCGGCCCTGCAGTCCCCCTCCTACCCTGTGGTTTTGACGCTCTGGATCAGGAAGGAAGGGTTTAGAACTGTGGTGGGCAGAGCTCAGACCTGCATGTAGGGCCTGAGGGAGGGAGGCCCAGGAAGGGGGAAGAGCCTGCTTCCCCACCCCCTCCACTGCTCTCTCTGCCTCACCAGGGGCTCAGGAAGCATGTCCTCTGCCAGGTGCTGCAGGCTTGAGGGCTCAGGTCCCCCAGGCCCGGAATCAAACTCCACAGATACCCAAGATCCCCCTTTCCCGATGACTGGTGAGCTGCCCGTAGTGCCTGCTGGGCTCCCACGCCCCGAGGCCGGTGTCCAGAACTCAGGAGTGGGCCTGCAGGCCCTGGCCAGGCTTCCTGGGCTCAAGGGGGCTTGGAAGGTGCGGAGATTGGAGCATCCTGCAGAGTGTGCCTGGGTGAGACGCAGTCAAATAAAGGTGTGTGCTGTTACAGCGCCGGGCCTCTTGACAGCAAGCGTCATTGTGTAGGGGTAAGCGTCATTGTGTAGGGGGAAGCGTGTCACCACAGGAGGGTGCATTTGAATGTGTCACTATGAGAGGGGTCTCCAGAGATGTCAGGAAGGTGTCAGTGGGAAGGGTTTCAAGATGTCATGGGGGGTGTTCTGGACATGTGAGTTTCCAGGATTTTACATTCTGAGTTGGGGTTGCTACCCCAAGCGCGTAACTATGGAAATAGACACACCCTCTCTGAAGCCCTCCTTGCTGGAACGCCTCCACATCCCTCCCCCAGCTCCTCCCACCCCCCCAGTGTTGCTTCTTTGCTGAGGCTGTCTTGTTGCCCTCGGCAGTGATGGGGGTGGGTGCCCAGAGGCATGCTCTCCACAAGGGTTTAATCTTTTATTAGTCAAGTGGGCCTCCCCTGGGAGCCAGGGGACACTCCCATCGCCAACAGAGGGAGGGGCCTGGAATGAAAGCCCGGAGTCGCTTTCACTCTCAGAACCTGTCAACTTGATGACCACCTCCCCTCCCCCACCCTGCCTCTCTACAGAGAGGCTCCAGGCTTGGCAGGGGGTGGGTTGGTCCTTTGCCAGTTCCCTGAAGGCCTAGACCCCCTCTGTAACAGAAGCTCTGGAAACTGAGCTAAATACCAGGGGCATTTAGGGTATTTAAGCCAACAAGACCTCCCCCACAGTCTTAGGGTCTCCCCTGGCCAGCTTCAGCCTGCCACGGCCCACCCCAGGAGTGTCCACAGTCAGCACCGGTCCTTTGAGGACCCTTGTCCACCCCTCCCAGGCAGACAGAATGCTCCCAGAAGTTGGTGTGTCTGGGATTCTCCTCTCCATCAGGCCCAGATGCAGCAGAGATGATGTTGCCTAGGAAAGTTCAGGACCATCTTGAGGGTAATTACACTCCCGGCTCCTCTTCTGAAAGCACAGGGCACGAAGGCTCAGTGCTGCCGCCTAGTGGCTATTTGAAAGCAGCGCTACCGTGCAAAACTCATTCCCCAGGGCTCAGAGCCCCCAGTCTGGGGTCCAAGGGCTGGTGGAGAATAAAATGTCAGAATGACTTCTGGACCTACTCTTTCAGCCTCTCCCAAGCCCAATCCTGGCTGCCCAGGGCAAGAAGAGCAGGGAGCCTGGCACCCGATATGGCCGAGGGCCCAGAGTCCTCAGAGGTAGGGGACAGAGGCTCCTTGCTTCCTGTCCCTTAGCTGCTTCTGGCTGCCTTCTCATACTGAACAGGAGAGAAGGCCAAGACATCCCCCATTCCTTTCTTCCCTCCATCTTGGGGGTGATGTTCTCTCCTTAAGCTTGGTCCCAGGGCTGCCTCACCAATACCTAAGACAAGCAGACTCCCTGCCTCACTGCAGAAGCCTGAGCACCTTCTCCCGCCCCAGGTGGGTACAGCTCAGACCTGAATGCAGGGCCTGAGGGAGGTGGCCCCTCCGCAGTCCCAGCCTCCCAGGACCTGCCCAGCCCTGAAGCACTGGACAGCTCAGGGGGATGGTCAGCAGGTGGGGGCTCAAAACACTCTCTTTTGCCTCAGGGCACCCGGTTCCTTCCCCGTGGACTGCCCCCCTAGGCCTTCTGCAGGACCCAGGTGTGCAGGGCAGTTAACTCCTTGTGGAGGGGCCCCTGCCCCGTTGGCATCTCTTCAGAGCCTGCCCCGTGCCCACAACCCACAGCCCAGCCGGGGCAGGCTCAGGGAGACCCGTGGGACGGCAGGGAGGTGAGGATTGGGCTGAGACCCCGCAGGACGAGGGCGAGAGGGAGCAGAAGTCTAGTCATCAGGCCTCTCTTCGGGGAGATCGTCATCGGCGGGGGGTGCAGGCTGGCAGCGGAAGTGGTCATTCCAGATCTTAAGGAAGGTGACCCGGAACTTCTGGATGCGGAAGGCATAGACGATGGGGTTCATGGCCGAGTTGCCGTGCGTGAGGAAGATCGCAATGTAGGTGAGGATGCTGGGCTTGTGGCAGGAGGGGCAGAAGAGGGTGATGCAGTTGAGGATGTGCAGGGGCAGCCAGCTGAGCGCGAAGAGGAAGAGGATGAGGGCCAGCGACTTGGCGATCTTCAGCTCCTTCCCGTAGTACTTCTGCGGGTCGCCCGAGGAGGCCGACACCTTCTTGTTGAGCTGCTTGCGGATCAGGTAGAAGACCTCCAGGTAGATGAGGACCATGAGGAGCAGCGGGGGCAGCACCCACACGAAGAAGTTGAAGTAGACCATGTACTCCATGCTGATGACCTTCTCGAACTCGCACTTGATCACGGGCTCCCCCACGCTGCCGTTGGCCGCCCAGGCCTGCTCCACCTCACTTAGATTGTTCCAGCCAAACATAGGCGTCAGGCCCACCACGAAGGACAAGATCCAGCAGCCGGCGATAGCCACGGCTGCCCGCCGGGGGGTCACCACCATCTTGTACCTGAGGAAGGGGAGGGCAGAGTGTGAGGAGTTGTCTCCCAGCCACCACAAAGGCCCCTCTGAGGCTCGCCCAGGCCCTAGGGGTCCTAAAAGGAGACCCCCTTCCCCTTCAGGGCCCGTGAGTGGGGAGGTGCGTGTCTTTTGCCTGAGGGCCGAGTCTTCAGGATCTAAGATTTAGGGCAAGGCTCACAACGCACTGCACCTGCGGAGGGAGAAAATCCTGATTAGTGATAAAATAACAAAAGAACATAACAAAAGACCTCCTCTAGGAGTTTCGAGAAAATGACCACAGTAACAATTGCTCACATGTGCTCAGCACACCCCCATGGGTTATCTCACCACTGCTTCAAGACAGCCCCCGTGGGATAGGGAAGCACTGGCAGAAGGAGCACAGCTCATTTGACAGATGAAGAAAGTGAGGTTCAAAGCAGCATGGGATCTGCCCAAGGCCACATGGAAGGGGAAATGCTGTCCTGTGCTCCCCAACACACGTCTACACTGACCAAAACAGCCAGGTGATTAACAAATCACCCCGCCCTTCAGCCAGCTGACACAGCCGTCATTAAAAAACCTTCTCACACCCCCCTTCCTTTGGCCCCATCCCATGCTCCCCTGCCAACGCCCCCGTCTCCCACCTCCATCTTTCCCTCACAATCTCTGTGCCGTGCTTTACGCCCAAGGAGATGATCTCAAGAAGCAGCTCTGCACCCCCAAGCTTACTGGGAATGAATCTCAGGAGAGAAAACTGATGTTCACTGGACATCACCTACGTGCTAGATACTTTCACTCATTCATTCCTGCATGCGAGCCTGGATTCATTCATTCAGCAAATATGTGTCGAGTGCTTTCTATGCTACACATTGCTCTCCATGCTGAGAATAGGATAAAGATTCTGCCTCTATGCAGCTCACATTTTGGGTGAAGAGACAGGTAACACAAAAGTGAAAAAATCAATAAGACAACTACAGATCGTGACATGTTTTTCAAAGGAAACAAACAGGATGCTGTCAAGGGACAGAGCTTGCTAACCTTTCCCGTGTCACGACACAGAGAAGATGAAAACATCTGGATGACAAGGCTGCCCGTGGGCCGCAAGTGACGACCCCCTCACCCCCCTAAGGGGCTGAGGGTTTGAATATCTCCTGGGCTCCCTCACTTCCCTTTAAACCAATCTACCCAGCAGCCATCGTGTCCTCAGCCCACACACTGGCCTTGCAGTGGGTGCCAAGGGCTGGGTTCCACCCAGCTCTGTGCTGGGGAGCCAGCAAGCGGAAGCAGCTTGCCCAGTTGTTATTTTCCAATGCAGCTTAGATGGGGGCAGAGGCCTCCTGAGCATGTAAACAGCTCCTGAGACCCAGGAGCATGCAGGGGGAGGCGCCCACGCCTTTCTTCTCTCCCAGTCTCTCCTGCCTGTGATGATGCGTCAAGTCTCTCTCACCCTGAACAATACTTCTCCGAGATCTCTTACTGTCCATCAAAGCCCACCTGCTCTGTGAAGGCTCTGGGGACAAGAAGGGGGACACACTGGAGGGCGGGAGAAACCAGATGCCCCCTTCCTACCCCAGCTAGAAGAGAAGCACTAGCAGGGACCTTTGGAACCTCATTTCCTATCTCTGCATCATTCCAACAGAGAAACTGAGGGCGCTAGATGACCCCAACACCTTCAGAGCAGTCCGCCCCCCACTCTGTGATTGTAAGATCCCTGAGCTCCAATTCACCCAGGAGCCTCGAAAGCTGGCCTGTTCCCTTGTGCTTCACTGAAGTTTTTTTTACATTTAATCCTTCCTCTCTGGTTGTAACTGACACTCATTCCCTCCTCTCGTATCCTAAGCAGAACTGCCAGGCCTGGTGCCTGTGCTGAAGTCAGAAGACCCAAATTTGGGCTTCCTGTCTACAAACTGCTAGGTCAATTCCTCCTCTGTAAAATGAGACCTACTTCAGAGGGTGAGGATTAAATGAGATAATAAATGTGTCCGTGCTCTAAACACCCTACCAATATTCCTCTGTCTGAGCTCTGACCCCTCCAAGCAAACTCCAGTGTTGCTAAATGCTCAGCAATCGCTCAGCAACCATAGCCTAAGGGCTACTAAAACATCTTTCTCGGGTCTTGTGCCCAGGGATCTCAAAGTGCTCCTCATAGGTCCTCTTAGTACAGTGAAAGAAGTTCTGGACATGAGTCCACGGGGAAAGACCAAGGGAACATGGGCCATTCCATCACGAGAGAAGGAGGTCACAAGGTGGAGGGTGAGGCCAGGCCCTCAGGATGAGCCTCGGCCGGGCCCAAGGGAGCTGCATGAGGCAGGATGCGCACACCGCCCCTGCCACCACCCTGCCAGTCACGTCTATCGTTTCTGTCGCAAAGTCCTTTCTCAGTCATATCTCAGGTCATTCCCGCAATCACCTCTGCAGTGAGTCCAGTGGATAATGGAATCCCCATCTCACACCTTAAGAACTCCACTAGCCCAGGTATCCCGCTGCCAAGCTCAGCTCTTCTTCAAAGCTGCCTGTGGGTGGTTTAGGTACAAATGACTGGCAGACTGAGAATATCCCTTGCCTAAGAGCTTTAAAATGAGAATGTGTAGGCTGCGCACAGTGGCTCATGCCTGTAATCCTAACACTTTGGGAGGCTGAGGCAGGAGAATCGCTTGTGCCCAGGAGTTCGAGATCAGCCTGGGCAACATAGCAAGACCCTATCTCTACTAAAAAAAAAAAATTTTTTTTAATTAGCTGGACGTGTTGGCACCTGTAGTCCCAGCTACTCAGGAGACTGACAGAGGAAGATCAGCCCGGGAGTTCAAGGTTACAGTAAGCCGTGAGCACGACAATGCACTTCAGTGTGTGCAACAGAATGAGACCCCTACTCAAATAAACAAACAAATAAAATAAAATAGCAATGTCTTGACACTGTTCAAGAAGGGTCACCACCCAGAGTCAGGAGGGTAGACCAGATGACCTCTGGTGCTGCCGTCCAGCCTGAGAGTTGGGGGGATCTCGCCTGGGACCAAAGCTGGGCACTGATGACCTATCGAGAGAAGAGAGGTCAACAGTGACAGGCCCAGGTAGGAGAGAGGAAAAGGCCTCCCTCCCTCCCATACCCGTCACGCCTCAGACTGCCTGGAGCTCCCAGGGTTAAAGCTTTCCTGGGGCTCCTCCAGGACCTGGTCCCAGAAGACCCCGCTGCTTAGGGTATCAGTTCTCATCTGTTTTTCTTGCTATTTTCTCCTTGGTGGGAAAGGGCTGGACCCAGGACCTTGGCTGAGGTGGGGCAGGCTCTCACAGGAAGGGCTGCCTCCTGGGGTCAGGGGAGAACCTCACCTCTTCTTACACGTGGGAAAGGGAAGCAGAGGGTGCAAGGTCTGGGGCACACAGGGCGTGGCGGCGTGTGGAAGGTGCCTCTGATGCTTGGGAACGCCCCTCCACATCGGGGCCCCAAAGACTGGCCATCCCCAGAGGCTGTGCTAGAAGCTGGCCAGAAAGATGGCTGCTCTCAGGAAGGGGCTGCCTCAGACAGACCCGGAAGGAGAGCACCAGATGGAGGTGTTAAAACACCACATGGGGCCCTGTCCACAGGCAAGCAGGGCACACGGCTCCATAATGATGCAGTCGAAGGAACCAAGGAGAGCCCCACAACTTCCAGTATCTTCCTCACGGTGCATAAAATCCCACCACGGGTGAGATGTTCCTGTGGGCTCAGAGATGTCCTCTGCGTGTTATTTTTAAAAGCCAAGATAACCCGAAGTCCATAGTATGAATTAGTTTATTAGTCGGGATCTTCTTCTGGATGATGACATGAAAAGACAGGGTGCCTGGAGCAATGGGGTGGCAGAGACCATGAGAGGGAAAGGGGTCGCTTGAGGCGGCAAGCGGGAGATGGTTCGCGCTGAGCCTCTCAGGGTTGCCAAGAGCTGGCACTGCTGAACAGAAGAGGATTCCATACCACAGTTGCTGTGAGCGTATGGCAGGGTGGTTTGCAGGTGGAAAGGAGGGAAGGAGGTCTACAAATCCTGTGTCCGAGTAGGGCGGGGCAGAGGAAGCTATTGGTTCCTCCCAGTACACCTGGGGTGGCTGCAATATGAGGAAGGGGAATTCTGGAGGTTCAGTGAGGTGGAAGGTCAAACATACTAGTCGACTGATCAGTAACAAAATAATAATAATAATACCAATGTTAATAAGAACGAACAGTTATTTCTGTGTACTGGGCACTAACTTTATAGACACGATTTCACTGATACTTCAGCACAACCGTATGAGCTAGGTACTACAAGTTGATCATCCTTAATCCCAAAACCCTAAATCGGAAACTTTTTGGGTGCCAGCACGATGCTCAAAGAAAATGCTCCATAGCGCATTTCAGATTTCAAATTTTCTGATTAAGAATGCTCAATTGGTGAGTATAGTGCAAAAATTCCAAAATATGAAAGACCTGAAATCTGTAACATTTCTGGTCCCAAGCATTTGGGATAAGGGATATTCGCCCATTTCCTAACTGCAGTAACTGAGACTCAGAGAGATTAGGAAACATGCCCAAGGCCTCTCAGCCAGGAAAAAGCAGGAACAGAATTTCAAGGACTGCAATATGTCTAAGGCAAAGCCCATGCTGGACCCAGAAGTGGGAGCCCAGAGCTGAGGGCCTGGAAGGCAAGCTCCACCTGCTCCAGGCAGACCTCCCTGAGCTGAGCGGCTCTGAGGACCCCATCACAAGCCGCCTGGGAGCCTCACTCCCAGTCTGGCCTCTGTGAGCCATCAGCATGGTCTGTCGTGTGCATGCGCTGCCTGGCTGTTTAGTGGGCTGTCTTGTTCCCACTGGGAGCAACTGGGCAGTTGAGACTCTCCCTTTCCTTTATTAAACGGATATTCAGTGGGCACCTATCAGGCGCCAAGGACTAGGTGCTAGGGTTCAGGAATATAGATGGGAACGCGTTTTCATGAAAGTATCTTGCTACAGGCAGGGAGACAGGCAAGCAAATAAACAGATCGTTTCAGAGACCGAAAAGACCTTCA